GCGACGCCATGGTCCCGCTGGGGCGGCGCCGCGTGGTGGGTGCGGGGGAAAGGGGTAGACGACGATGTGGATGGAATCTGCTTCCTCCCGTCTCTCCGTCCGTGGGGAAGGTGACGCAAAATCAACGGTCTTTCGGGGGGTTTTCCAGAAAGTGGGAGATGACATGTGGGGCCAGGAGTTGCTGCCGCTCCCTCTGATCGGACCATCGAAGCCGTTCGTTTAGAATCGGAGGGCTAAAGTGCGCCTTCGTGACCACCAAAGTTCGAGCAGAAATTACTCAACTGCCCTGCGCATCTCACGGCCCGGCATCCCAGCTCCGGCGACGCCCCCCCCCACCCCCGATGGCCTCCGCCGCCGCCGTGACTCTCCGGCGCGTGGTGCTTGTGTCCGCCGCGCTGCGGCTCGCACTGGTGGTCTTCGGGGAGTGGCAGGATGCCCACCTCGAGGTGCGCTATACCGACGTCGACTACCTCGTCTTCTCCGACGCCGCCGCTTCTGTGGCCGCAGGCGGTTCTCCGTTCGCCCGCGCGACCTACCGCTACTCTCCAATCCTGGCCTTCCTGCTTCTCCCGAACTCACTCCTCCATGCTGCCTGGGGCAAGCTCCTCTTCTCCGCCGCAGGTAGCCTGCCCTGCTCACGGCCTGCTGCTGATTTTAGAGCTGTTTGCTTCCCTATCTGTTGTGTTGCCAAGGGTAACTAATTTCCGTACATTTTTGTAAGTATATTTGGATTCTGGAACGTCGTGTGCTTGATCTACGGTTCATTTATGTTGGGCGCTCGAGATGCCTGGGTTTGTTTCTGTAACGTGCTCCTAATTGAGAATTGATGTATGAGACTTCAGTGCGTTAGTTCTTATCCATTTCATTCACTTATATATGAGTGATCATAACGCAGGCGTTGTTCGGCTTGTGATCTTTATTCGCAATGATAGGGTGTAGCATTTAGATTCACAGTAAACTTTCATTTTCTTGGTTTAGGAAGGGAGCTTTTGATCCTGAATCAGTAACTACTAGGATTTATCGTGGCTTTGGGACTACTGAGTTGTATAATAAGACATTCTTCTTTGTGTAACTACCTTGATAAAGATTGTGATGGTCTTGTATGAATGTTCTTGTTCTGCAGATTTGCTCGTAGGGTTGTTCATAGACACCATTCTGGAACTAAGAGGAATTCCCGAGAAAATGCGCATGTGGTCTGTGATAGCTTGGCTGTTCAATCCCTTCACATTCACCATTGGTACAAGAGGAAACTGTGAACCAATAGTCTGCGCAGTCATGCTCTGGATTCTCATATGTTTGATGAAGGGTGTAAGCTCTGAATCTCTTATGCTGTTTGTTCTGTTATTGCTACCTTTGTAAAGTTGCTATGGTGGAATGTGATAGGACCATTAAAAACTGTCCCAGCTTGTGCTCTCATGGACTAATGTATGCTTCTATAACTGTGTGTTTGTTTTTAATTTTTTCATATCAACATAGGATATGCATAGAAGGGCAGGCCTGGTGCAGTGGTGAGAGCTGTCTCACTGAGTCACCAGGTCGTGGGTTCGAAGTAGCCTCTCCGCAGATTTTGTGGGGGAAAGGCTTGTCTCGGTTTATCCCTTCCCCAGACCCCACTCATGTGGGAGCCTCCGGCGCTGGGTCTACCCTTTTTTAACATAGGATATGCATATGATTGTTCTATACACAGTATGTAACTTATTCATATCCGTGGCTTACTTATGCATTGTCTCAGATATCTTTTGTTTGTTTTTGATAGCCAATATTTTATACTACATTGTCAGATCAACCTCACCATATATGTAGCTGACCTGCAAGCCCTCAGTTTGTCCTGTGCTAACAGCTCTCTTCCCACTCATGCATTTGCGAACTTCAGTTTTGCTCATGCAATGAAATACAGTACACACTTATGTACTCATAGTCAGTGAAATCTGAACTTAGTCATTTCTTTTGGTCTTGAATGAAGTGTATAAAGTACTAGTTATGCCACTTTTTCGGACATATAGTTTATCAGGGTTTGACCGCTGAATTTTGGAATATTCATCTTCTTATATGCACTGTGTGTAGTTGTTTATCCTTGAAGACATTACTAATTCATGTTAGTTTTTTTTTTTGCTCTGTTCATTAAGGTCTTTTTTGAATGGATAAAATCCCTGGCCCATCCACGTGGATGGGCCGCCAAACTCATCCAAAGGTGTTTGTCACTATTTAGTTCATGAAGTCAAATGTTAACATTCTTTGAACCATATGGTTTGCTGGTTGTACCACTTGCTTGTTCTGGAACCTCCACACCAAAAAAAAAAAAAAAAAAATTATGTCATTTACTTTGCAGTTACATCGAATAATATCATGAAGAACTTGTTATTCATCTCAGGTCTAGGAAGAAAGATTGTTTTTAAAAAATTGCTGGATAGATTAACATAGGTATGTTACAGCTTAAGTGTCTTTTGCAGGTAGAGTATTGCAGGCAGCTTTCTGGTATGGGCTTATTGTGCACTTCAGAATATACCCAATCATATACGCGATTCCTTTTGTAATAGTTCTTGGCAAGGGCTATGCTGGTCCTGTTGGTAGACCTACTCTTACAATGTGGAGGTCCAAACAACAGTTGCAAAATGACAAAGTCAGTCAAAAAGAAGATCCAACATCATTCCTGGCCACTGTATGGGGTTTCCTTTCAAACTCCATAAGCAGAAATGTGATCCTGTTTGGATTACTCTCTGGATCTATGTTCTTTGCCTGGGCTGGTGTTTTCTTCTATCTTTATGGGTGGGACTTCCTAAATGAAGCATTACTTTACCATCTTACTCGTACTGACCCAAGGCACAATTTCTCGATATATTTCTACCACATATATCTACATCATCAGCAAGGGTTCTCAAGTATTCAGAGGCTTGCTTCGTTTCTTCCTCAACTGGTTGTGCAACTGGCACTCATTCTACGCTTCTCTAGGGATCTTCCATTCTGCATGTTTCTTCAGACGGTTGCATTTGTTGCTTTTAACAAGGTACATGGTGACTCACACATATATTTGATATTTCTTTTATGCTGTAGTGCCTTAAGGTAATTACTTACAGTTTGTTTAATGAGCAGGTGATGACGGCACAGTACTTCGTGTGGTTCTTCTGCCTGTTGCCCCTCATCCTCCCTTGGAGCAGCATGAAACTTAAGTGGAAGGGTCTGGCCTGTATGGTAGTGTGGATGGGGTCCCAACTACATTGGCTCATGTGGGCTTACCTGCTGGAATTAAAGGGCCGAAACGTTTTTGTGCAGCTCTGGGTTGCAGGCCTCATGTTTCTGGCAGCGAACACCTTTGTTATGCTCATGGTGATGAAACACCACAAATACATTCCGCTCTTCTTATCGCCGGTGAAGTCTGGCAACAAGGTTGCTACCAAGAAGGAAGAATAGCATCCGCTTGGGCTCTTTCCATTTTGCCAACTGATGTATGATGAGAACATGGATCATGTTTGTTTCTCTTTTTTGTGTTTCTGTATCAGATCATACGTGTTTTGAATGCATCATTATAGTTTTGCCCGTAGATAATGTGTGGTGACATTACATCAGAAGTATTTTTTTCGTTATCAGAATTTGCAACTGGTTCAGATTGGGGGGGGAGTTAGCTGGTTATTTATTTGGGACTGGGACTGGTACCTGAACGCTGATAATAGCCCTGGATCCTACTCATGTGTGAACAGGAAAGTGCTAGTATACTTTTGTTTCTTTGTGCCTCGGCGCATTCGCCTTTTGCTAACTCATGGCAATTAGTTGGATCGAGGCAAGCAATATGAGCCACTGAGACCGCCTGAGTAAATAGGTGTGGCAAATGCCGTGCCTTTCCTTTGTTCTGAAAAATGAGAAGGGAAAGCTCTCCTATTTGCGCCACGCTCTTCATGTAGAACACGGTCACATTTCACGTGTGTTTATTGTTGCTGGGGATTGGTTCCTCTTGTCTTGTTGCTCGAATTTTGCAGTTTGTGAAACAAGAAATCTGGTTTGTGTCTAAGGCGCCAGATATAAAGTTCATATTCATAAGTGAGATTACGCAGCGTCCGTTCAATATGACCGCGTGGCCTAATGGATAAGGCGCTCGCCTCCGGAGCGGGAGATTGTGGGTTCGAGTCCCATCGTGGTCGTCTTTTATTTAAGTTTTTATCGAGTTTTTTTTTCAAGACCTGCGCTTCGGCGTACGGTGTACCACGCTGCGACGTTGCCCTAGGCTCCCAGTCCCAGCGAGCGCATCACCGCTGATACATTCACGTTACGCCATTGACGTTGACTCAGCGGCAACTCAGAGATGGCCTGCGGAGCGTCAATGGCTAGGCCTAATCGCGTATTCAGCGAGGGCCAAGCAAACTCCTTCGTCCGATCCACCGCAGGTATAACACTCCACCCTGTTCTGCACCTGGCAAGGCTGGATGAGCGCCAGGCTGCTGCAACCTCTGCTGCCTGAAACTCTGAAACTGAACTCATGACTAAAAACATGATGGTACTCCCTCCGTCCCAAAAAGAATATAATCCTGCTTTTTTAATGGGACCCGTCAATTAAAAATATCCTTACATGTATAAAAACTACCATACATGAGAACATTCCAGAAGAAAATCATTTCTAGAATGATGAGGAGGGGCAAATGCGTAATTTTACACCTATACTAATCTTAGCTCGAAAAGCGAGATTTACATATTTTTTGGGACAGAGGGAGTACACTACAATGTGCTATCTCTGAAAGAGGCATGAGGAGCGGACAGAGCTAGAAAATAATCTGCTACTGATGCTTATGGCCAAGTTAAACAACCAATAGTCATAAAATATACTTTCGAAAGGTCAAATTCCATTGTATAGCCGAAATGTTGAACCACACCATCCCAGTACAGGTGATCTGGTCTGAACCTTAAGCCAAACAAATGTTGCTCTATTAAAAATGAGGAGCTACAAAAACTTTCACTGGTTAAATACTACTGCCAGAAAAAAAAAACATTTGGCATGGGGGGATTGCTGGATGCTATCTCTTCACGCCATCTTTCTTTGAGAACAGCCGCAGATTTGCAGTTTGCCGGCGCCATTCAGTTATCGGTACCTAAAGCATGCCCAGCCAACTGTTAGAATTTATTGCTATACTAGGATAAAGAGGGGAGCAAAGTTGAAATGGTATGGTCGTTGATATGCTTACAGCGGGGAATCCACCATAGTCACCAGGCTCCTGAATATCCTTTGTCACCGAGCTATTAGCTGCCAGTCGAACCTGCAAGAAGGTTGCAGAAATAGTAAGAACAACAACAACAAAGAAACTGGCATCAGCTTAATTTTCATCAGAAGTTGGAGTGGTGGTATGCAGATGCTTGCCAACTACATTCTATTTGCTGAAACCTCCAGATGCGAAGACACAAGTTGCATATAAACTTCTTAGGCTCAGCTACTCAGCATGAAGAAAAGAACAGCTTGCGCCATTGTAAGCAGAACTGAATCAGAATTAAAAGGATTCAAGAATGCTCGGAGTAATGTAACCAGGATATGACATTAGACAAGGCAGCAAAATGTTGCACTAAATTCAATCTAGTTTTGATACAAGGTGCACAAAGAAGGCAAAGCAAAAAAACACAGAGCTGTGAACACAACACCTTTGATACAATGGAGACATGGTCTCGAATTGCCACTCTACCGCCCAATGTAACATAGTCCCCCAGTCTGCATGCTCATAACAGGATGAATCTTGAAAAATGGCCCACAAAAATCATATAATGATCCTAAGCAGAAGAAACATGTAACCAATGAAGCTATATACATACGTTGCAGAACCAGCAATCCCTACTTGCCCACATATCATGCAGCACTTTCCGATTACCACATTGTGGCCTATCTGCAAGAAAAATTGTCAATTTACAGGAAAGGGAGAAAAACCAAACACCTAACGCAGGAGAGATAATACCTGGACCAGATTATCAATCTTGGTATGATCTCTGATCATTGTCTCTCTCCAGCTGCAGTTAATAACAGGTGAAGTTTCAGCAAAATTCTACTGCAGCCAAATATATAATCAAATGAAAAGAGCTAATATCCTATAGCTTCGATTAAATGAAAATCATGGACCAGAAAACAGAAACTGCAACCACATTTTCTCAATATCAGCAATACCTTTGAGCACTTAAAAAGTTACCTGCCTCTGTCAATGCACGTGTTTGCGCCTATTTCTACATGGTCTCCAATTCTTGCGTACAGCATCTGACAAATAGCAAGATAGTTCAGTATAGACAAAAAAGTACATGGTACTACCCCATACAACCCTTTACCCAAAACTACTTCAGTTGGTCCAATATACCCCATAATGAGATTTGTCTTTTTGTTTGTCCATGTACAAGTTGAGCATTAAGTTCTTTTTTTTCCTGGGGAAGGGGGGTGTTAGGGAAAATTCTTGATGCAATTTTCTAATATAGAACATAATGTCCTCTGTTACTCCACAAATTTGAACTTCATATATTCAGCTTGTAAGTGGAGAAATAAAAAACTGAAATCTCATTAGGGGTGGGTTGGACCAATTTAAATAGTTTGGAGGAGTAAACGGAGCCTAAATTTTTATTCACAGGGGTTAAGCAGAAAAGGTGGATTATTCGGGGTAGTAATTGGACCCTCCTATTTGGTTTGATATCCAAATCACCATGGTTTTTGAGGCGTCGCCTAGGCGTTGAGGCGTACCCCAGGCGCCACAGGGTTTTAGTTACGCCATATTGCCTAGGCGTCCAGGCATACCCCCAGCGCAGGACGCCGCAACGCCTCAAAAACCATGCAAATCACATCCACTAAAGACTCTCAAATAAACATCTACAGAGATAAGCCAGCTAGTTACTAAACATTGGGTCGGAATGCATTATCTCAAGATATTTTTGCTATTGGACTTCAGGTAAGTAGGATGGATTAAGTATGATGACTGTCAGAATAAGCTTTTCCTTACCTATATAAGATAACACTGAATATGCAGTAACACAGGCCATAACGTAACCTTAGTTCTGAACATTTCAGTAGCTTTAAATTTGGATTCTACTAATTAACAATCTTAAAAATAATTACCATAGGGCAACAATGGTGAACAACTGAGCACTAACCTGTGGTTTCTTCTTAACCTGTCCAGCCTCATCCACAAAAAAACCAAAACCTGCAACCATAAGATGTTGACATCGGCATATCATGAGAATATATGAATTATATTCTTTGAAAGGAGTATATCAAGCAATCTTATCATATACCATTATACCAAGTATTTTTAAAAAGAAAAAGAAAAGGTATGTGAGTAGCCAAAAAGGCAATGCAATTTGCTCACTAGAAAAAAGAAACAGTGTCGAACGATCTGAAGTATAACATGCACATCCAACTGAGAGATGTCAGCACATGATACCAGATACCAGCAACCTTGTACCTCTTTCTTTTTTCACAGCATGGGATGACGTAAACACTAAAATGAGTATCTATGCTCACCGTCTTGACCAATCGAAGCTCCATTGTGGATAATACAGAACTCACCCACCGAGCAATTGCTTAAGACAGCATTGTACCTACACATTTTAAAGCCAATCTTCATTCTCCGCAAATCCCTAAATCAAGAGTACACATAGGTCCTCAAATTAAATTCAAGAATCAGCATACCCGATCCTAGTTGAATGCCCAATGGAAACTGAAGGCCCAACCACGGCTCCAGAACCAACAACGACCTCTCTACCAAGGACAGCACCGGAGTGCACGACCGCTCCGGGCTCCACCACAGCGGTGGGGTCAACGAACGCTGCCCGGTGCAGGATGCCCCCGCCATTGTGCCACGGCAAGAACTCCACTGAAGCAGTGCCAGGATCTGATCGTCACAGGTCAAAAATATCTCAAAATTAATAAAGTAAGTTTATTGGCACTGGAGTCGATGATTACTTACTGCTGCAAGCAGAGGATACGCCGCCCAGGTACCGAGCAAAGTGGCAGGCGGGGCGCGGCGGCACGGAGTGTAGTGACAGCGCCGCCTCCACCGCCCTGCGGACGGTCCTAGGCAGAATGGCTGCCATCCTTTACCTGGGCGAGTGAAAAACCAACAAATGAACATATGTTCTAGTGAATGTTTTGGGCAAAACATTAAAATGAGAAGAGGCGCTCGGGTGTCAGTGCTCTGGTCACCGGAGGCGGTGCTCGCCGACTCCAAAAATGAGAAGAGGCGCTCGGGTGCACGCGTACGGCGTACCTGCTAGTGCTAGCTGCTGCTGGCGTCCCGCCGTCGCTGCACCAGGTCTTTGCTGTCGAGCTGGGAGGCAGCGGCGCCTCGAGCTAGCTGCCGAGGAACCACCTCCCTGATGGCCTGATGCGCTCAAGCAGGTAGGGGAAGGTCGGGATGCGCCGCCGCCGGTCGGAGACTCGATCGGAGGGGGCATTTACATATTTACCACGGGAGGACTAACGAGGGGCGCTGAGACCCTCTCCGGCCGGTTCAGTTCCCAAAATTTTACAAATTTTTTTTCGAGATTCTTCGTCACATCGAATTTTTGGACGTATGTATGAAGCATTAAATATAAATAAAAAATAAAACTAATTACATAGTTTAGACAAAATTCACGAGACGAATCTTTTAAGCCTAATTAAACAATGATTGGACACTAATTGCCAAATAACAACGAAAGTGCTACAATACCATTTTCCAAAAAAATTCGCCAACTAAACCACCCCTTACCCAAAATCAGTCTCAGATTCATCGGCCTCGGTTGACAAAATTTTGCTGAAACTGGCTAGTTGTGTGAGAGAAAAACAGTTGGCTAGTTTGATAAACAGTGATCTCAGAAGGAAACCAAGCTGGCTGGCTGGTTTCTTCAGCCCAGACCAGATCTTAGAAGGAAAACCAGCCGGCTGGTTTCTTCAACCCAGACCAGCGAACGGAAGCATTTTGGGTTGTCAGATAGGTACAATTCAAATATGAGTATTCTCTTTTCTGAAAACTTATTTACAGAAAAAATTTTCTTTTAAGTTCTATTATTAGAGAGAATGTCGAATAGTTATTAACTATTTATCTGTTATTAGAGAGAATGTAGCGCTAGTATTTTAGCGCTAGTATTTTAGGTGTCCTCATCGGAGATAGTCCGACGAGAGCCGCCGGGGGTGACGGCGGTGGTGGGTTCAGTATTGGACCTGGGTTGTAGTATTTGCTACTGGGCCTCTCGGCAGTTTCATTTTTTTCGTTTAATTCAGGCTACCGCTGCAAGGACCAAATTAGCAAGGTTCTAAGCTCTGCCGCCTATTAGCTGTTAGAGCAAATCTACCGGAAGAGCTAAATTGTTTTATAAAAATAAATATAGCTAATATCTATTATAATAATAATAATAATAATAATAATAATAATAATAATAATAATAATAATATTATTATTATTATTATTATTATTATTATTATTATTATTATTATTATTATTATATCAAACGTGCACGCGCGTTACAACAAAATATGTTGTGCGGTTACCTAGAAGCTTTTTGTGTTGGAGTGGAACATGTTGTACGGTTAGGTGGACGATTGACAAACTTCTGTTTCAAACTTTCAATGTCTTGAAATTGAACTCCGTACCATCATTTCATACGTCTTGAAAATAGACTCTATAGCATTGTTGCAAAGAAAAATAAAAATAGAAAACATGAAAATACAATAGGAAAAGAAAACTTGAATTTGGAAAAAAGAAACTAAGAGCAAATTAAAAAACAACATTCTTTTTTCGAGCTCAGAGCATCTCCAAGAATCTTTCTAAAATTCACTCTATAAATGATCATTTAGAGATCTATTTATATAAAAATCGATTTCTATATGTTTTCACTCTCGAATAAATTTTCTATATCTCGTGTGTACTTTAGAGAGCTATTATCGCTATCTATCTTTAGCTAGCAAGAAATCTTTAATAGAGGATGGATATATTTGGATAACCCATTAAAGAAGTTGTTGGAGGGTGGTTTTTCTTCAAAATTTTTATTTCTAACAATTAGAAAGGATACAGAGAGTCTCTTGGAGCTACTCTAGGCCCATCAGAAAGGTCCTAAATGACTAGAGGGGGTGAATAGCTTATAAAAATTTTCTACAATAACACTAAGACAAATGGTTAGAACACTAAATGGCGTAATACGAGTTTTGCGCTAGCTCTACAAGTATTGCAAATCACCTATCCACAAGTCTAGTTGCTATGATCTCTATGTATCAATCAATGGCTAAGTCACTACTACCAATAGTGAGCAACCTAGCAAGAATAATTACAACTAATTAAGCTACTCTACTTAGCACTACACAAGTATATGGGAATGTAAAAACAAGTACTAGGAATGAGTTATCGAGACGGGCAAGAGATCAATCACAATGAATACCAATGAAATCCTCGGAGACAAGATGACACAATGATTTTTACCAAGGTTCACTTACTTGCCGGCAAGCAAGTCCTCGTTATAGTAATTCACCCACTTGAAGGTTCACGCGCTAATAGGCATCACACGCCTAACCCGCAACCGGATGCCGCACAACCAACACAAGATGAGGATCTACAAGCTACGAGCAATCCACTAAAGATGCCTTTCGTGATCTCTCATGGAGAAGGCTCAAGAACCCCTCATAATCACCACGATCAGAGCCGGAGACAAGCATCACCCTCCGCTTGACGATCTTCGCTGCACTAAGCCATCTAGGTGTCAACAAATACCAAGAGTAACATGCAAATCCCGTAGCAAAACACAATCACCAATTGTCTCTAGATGCAATCACTCAAAGCAATGCACTTGGATGCTCTCCAATCTCACCAAATGATGAATCAATCAAGCAAGATAAGTTAGAGAGGATTGACTAGGCTCACTAGATTGTATTCTCAATAGAAATGGCCTAGAGAGTGAGCCCAAGCCGGCTACCACGTATTTATAGCCCCCCAAATGAAATTGAGCCGTTAGGGTCAAAGGGGGCTCACTGCGCGTTGACCGGACATGCTGGTCGGGGTGACCAGATGCGTCCAAGCCAGCGTCTGGTCGCGCGATGCATGCCATGCGTCCCCCGAGTTCAACCGTAGCCACACAATCCCAACGGTTAGATTCAAACACGTAAACGTTTAAGTGATGACCGGACACGACGGAGCATGACCGGACGCACCCTTATAGAGTCCGGTCATGCGTGCGCCCGAGCCAACGCGCCAGTGAATGGACTCGCTGCTCAACGACCGGACGCTCCCTCAGCTGGAGTCTGCTCACTTCTAGAAAGTATGCAGAGAGGTTTTTTTGCTACCTGACGTGTCCTGTCAAGGGTGACCTGACGCACTCAGCGTCTGGTCCTCTCTGCTCAGCACTTGCGTGCCACGTCAGTGATGATTGGACCCAAAAATAGTGTTCCCCTAGAGTCCAGTCCTTCAACCTCTCTAGAGTCCAATCATAGCTCACAGAGCCGTGCTCCCTAGGGTTGATGACCAGACTTAGCCAGCAGGGTCTGGTCCTAGCCGAAGCCAGGGTCCGATCACCCCTGTGATATCTTCCCCTTCTCCAACTTCTACACCCTTGCTTCCAAGTGCTAACCACCAAGTGTATCACCATTATGCACGTTGAAAGGTCCTAATGGCCGAGGGGGGTGAATAGCCTATAAAAATTTCTACAACAACACTTAAGCCAAGTGGTTAGACAACTATAAAGTGAAGCGAGTGTTGCGCTAGCCTACTAAAAATACAAGCCATCTATCCATAATTCTAGTAGTTATGATCTCTAATTCACACAAGGGCTAGGTCACTACCTCTAAGTTAGTGAGCTCTCAAAGTCTAACTAAAGAGCCTTACTAACCAAACTAACAAGATACAAGCTAGCTCTCAAAACTAGTTACACTAAAGAGTTTAGCTACACTAGAATGTAAATACAAGAGAGAGATACTGAGGGTTATATCGCCGTGGCAAGAGATCAATCACAAGAATACCAATGAAATTCTCGGAGACAATGATGACACAAGATTTTTCACCGAGGTTCACTTGCTTGCTGGCAAGATATGTCCTCGTTGTAGTGATTCACCCACTTGGAGGTTCACACATGTCGGTGTTTCGAATAAACCCAACTAGTAAATTTATATTTGTTGCGCGTTAGGCCCGGATGGTATGCTAAAAGGCATAAGGTTTATACTGGTCCGGGCAGAATGTTCCTACATCCAGTTTGCTGCTGCTCATGTTATTAGCACTAAAAAAGGTTCGTAGTAGAGGGTACAAACGGTCGAGAGAGGGACAGGTCCCAAGTCTCTGATGGAAAGGTCAAAAGGATGCCAAGAGCTTGGTTGCTGCTCAGCTGTGTGTTGGATTGATCCGTCCCCTTAGTGGGGTGCCCTGCCTTCCCTTTTTTAGACCAAGGGGGAGCAGGGATTACAGATGGGAGAAAGAGGAAAACCAGAGGTAGAGAAGGTCCTTCGAAGGTACCGGGTCTTCCTTTTCCCTTGAGCCTGCCCTGCAGACATGGCAGACGGTGCTAGGGATAGCACATTCGTCGATCCTAATAGGGTTGTGCTCTGGCTTCATTCAGCAAGTGGTTGCGTCCCATCCTACTCCGGCGGATGGTGTGGCATGCCAGGGTGCTGAGCCGTGACCCTACGGGGAGCAGACGAGGAAATGACCATACGTCTGTTATTGTAGATGATGTGAGTTCCCTCCTGGATTGTAGGGGTTGTTGTATGCTTATGTCAGGATCCATGTCCGAGGGTTGATGGCGGCGCCCACAACACTATAAGATAAAAGTTGGCGCCTACAACACTGTTCGGGTTCTGTCATGCCTAGAAGGGCTTAAAGCGCCCGTCCCGTCATATCCTGATGGTACTTTCATGTAGGCGTGCAGGGTATGGTCCTCGGTACTATGGTTGACTTGAGTGTCCTATCTTACCCTGTGCTCATCATTATGAAGGAGCAGGGTGCAGATGTTGGGCGAGACGGAGCCAGTCCCAGGATGTCAGGCGAGGCGGAGCCTGCCCTGGGATGTTGGGCGAAGCGGAGCCAGCCCTCAGACATCGAGTGAGGTGGAGCTAGCCCTCGGACGTTGGGCGAGGCGGA